AAAAAAAAAAAAAAAAAAAAAAAAAAAAAAAAAAAAGAAAAAAAAAAAAAAAAAAAAAAAAGAAAGGGGGAGGGAGGGAGGGGAGGGAAAGAAAGGAAGAAGGAAGAAGGAGGAAGGAAGAAGGAGGGAGGGAGGGAGGGAGGAAAGGAGGAAAGGAGGAAGGAAGGGGGAGGGAAAGAAAGAAAGAAGGAGGAAGGAGGAAGGAGGAAGGAAGGAGGAACTCAGTTACCTATGAACTTTTGTTAATGTCCATAGATTCATTCCTCTGGAAAATTCTGAACTGACAGACTCACATGGGAAAGAGAAGATTGAAAATGAAAAACAAGACAAATACTACTTACTAGGTAATAGACAGTGCTTCCAAATTTTGAGACAACCGAAAAAGCTTCCATCAAATCCAGGAAGTCCTTATCTTCAATGGAAAACTGATGGCCAAAAGTTGCAGCACAGACCACATTTGCAACTGATTTTGTTATGGGTAGCAGTGGGTCACAGGGTTGCCCTGAAAACAAAAGGCTATGGATTAATATTCACATGCACTCTGTTTCTCCTAGTTATACCAAAACTGGGGTGCCTGGTGGAGATTATTAGAGGTAAAGAAATTGTGATCATGTGTTGATTTATTTTTGTTAGATAAACTGACTTTCTGTTGCAAGTGCAAAAGCCATGAGCTCTAGCATGGCCAAAGTAATGGGAAAAAATTACTTCCAAAACCTTAATGTGCTTAAATGATATTAAGGACTCCATCTGAAATTCCTCCGCCACCAATATCCTTGCTCTGGGATCTACCTCACTCTCAGTTTTTGTTTATACATACCCTAGTCCCATAATTGGTAGGTGAGGTAAAGACCATAATGAATCTGTCTTTGGTCATGTTCATGGCAAGTTGATTATAAAACATTTTAATTAGTCAGCACTGAAGCTTAAAGTTGCTTGAAGTATTTGTAAAATACTGAATCAAGAACCTCTAGTCTCTCTGTGTCTACGGACATATTTGGAATTTTGATGTATTTTGAGTCCTCCATTGGGGGGAGATGGGCGGGGACAAGTTAAATAAATAAATAAATAAATAAATAAAATTTTGGAATTTTGAAAGCCAGTTTTCAAAACAAGCATGAATAGCATCATCATATCAACAAAATATGGGGAGCACTTTGCCTACATCTTCTTCTTTCTATTTGCATCAAATGTGCTTCTTTTTTGATTGATTGATTGATTTATAAATAATATTTATATGGCTACCCATCTAACATATGAACTCTGGCAGCTAACAACTGTCAACAAAAGCAATGTAAAAGAAACCTCCACGAAGCAAGCACAATACAAAATTAAAATAATTGCAGTATACAGTAATACCCAAGTTACCATAAGACAACTCAACCACACAAACCACACCTTTGTTGGGCTCATCTAATGGGTAGCTGAGAGCCTAGAGGAAAATCCAGGTCTTCATAACCTTCTGGAAGACCAAGTGGTTGGGACCCTCCAGATGTCAGTGGGAATGCAGTTCCAAAGGGCGTGGGCCATGACAGAGAAGGCACAACTCCTTGGTCTCACAAGTTGACATTGTTTAATAGAGGGGACTTGAAGCACACCAGCCTTCTTGGATCTGGTGGGACAGGCAGAAACCCTCAGAGATAGGTCGTCCTGCAAGGAAATTTGCCCTGTGCCATGTAGGGCTTTAAAGAAGCCCGCACACTGGCTGCATCACAAGTGATTTTTTTTTTAATAATTCTCTTGAGATTTTAAAAAGAACAATAAAAGATAATGCAAAGTAAAAGAAAAAAGAAAAAAAATCCCTCCCCCTTCTAAGAAAGCAACTTCCCACCCTCATCGTGACAACTAATGAACAATTTCATAATTTCATCCCTCTTAATTAAGAAACATAAAACTCTTCATCCTATAACCCATCTCTTAATAATAAACAAAGCAAATAAATAACATCTTCTCCTTATCCAACTGTCAGCAAAAAGTCCAAATGGAGCTCTCAAATATTAAAATTAATTAACAAATATAAAACTCAACTTTCCACACCTCAACTCTTAACTGTAAGCAAAACCCCATTTAAAAGGCATAAAAAGTATAAGCAAACCAAACCTAAAGTTTAACA